TTCACGAACACACACACACACACACACACACACACACACACACACACACACACACACACACACTCATTCATAATCATTCATTCATTCATTCATACCCTCACGCACATTTGCATGAGCGCGCACACATACCGAAGTACACGCACACACGCGTGCGCGAAGTCAGCGCACTCATACATACATACACATACACAAACACACATGCACACCCACGTACACATATGGGCCTACGCACACGCACGCACACGCATGCACACACCTACATACACACGCGCACACACACTCTCACACACGCGCGACACTCACTATCTCTCACACACACTTTGCATTGCATCGGCGTGTGTGTTTTTAATGGCCAGATGAAGTTACACGGGCCATTGAGCAAGCTTCGAAATGAAACCTTTGTATGGGACGAGACAACGATCATCCTGTATAGTATTATGTAGTAGGTCTTTAATCCTGAAAATGGCCCTGTTGTAAAATACATTCGCAACTCTCAATACGGAAAATGAAAAAGGTGTGTGTGTGTGGTGGTGGTGAGGGGGGTGGGGTGGGGGGCGACAACATAATTGTATCATTGACAAAGTTGCATATAAATGGTTAAATAATAGGTTTTCTCATAACATGTACATCCGAGAAATAGCGCCAAACGGTGATCACCAATGCCTGTCTCAGATCTGGCACTCGAAGTGTCTCAAAGGGGAGAGATTATCACGATTTCGTGACAAATTCGTTGCATAATAAGGGCCTCTGCGAGCGTAGGGTACGTCGTTTATTCAAATAATATGTAATGCGTCATGGTGGAATCAGGCGCTCGTCAAAATATATTGAAATCGAAGAAAGTGACATTTTTCCGCCTGTTGGGCAATTAGGTATAGCATTCCCCCCCTTTTTAGGAGTGGGACAGGGAGGGGGGGGGGCTGGACATCCTTTATGTCCATTTTAAAACACTTTTCTGTATAAATTTTGCTGGGGAAAAAACAACTCTGATCCAAGCTACAAAAATGTAAATTTGCAGTTTACACGTACTCTAGGCTACTTCGACTATTCAAGGTATATGGGTTTTTTTTTTTAAATCATAAGCGAAACGATTGAACAAGCTTTCTGCAGGTACTATCAATAACTCCATGTGCACAAAACTTGACGAGCGCCTGATTTCACCGCGTTGACACCCATATCGACTGTTGGTGCCGTTCGAGGCAGTGACAGAGTGGTGTCAACGGAAACGGGGCCAAGCATTCTAGCCCGGCTCATTCAGTTGCACGCTAAATTTTAAAAAAATCATATTCACATTTTTGGTCGTGCTACGGTCGCTTTGGCTAGGCTATAGCACGCTACTGGGGGAGGTGTGTAAGGGGGGTAGGCAGAGCTCCTTAATCTGTTCAATATTAATCCTTCTGGTAATCGTTGAATCCAGACTGGTGGTGACAGCAGGTCTCGTCAGCGGAGAATGTAACGCCGAAAATCAAAAGCCGCCCAAAGCATCCTAGCTTTCCCCCTTCTACATAAAATCCAGGAACCAGTTTTGAATTAATGACAAATAAATAAACAACAACAACAGCAACAACAACAACAATAATAATAATAATAATAATAATAATAATAATAATAATAATAATAATAATAATTCCAAGCCCTAGTCTCTTCGGATTGGATCGAGGAACGTTAGGACCCTTTATGAGGCTGGAAAAACTTCACAGGTCCTCCAAGAGATGCA